CGGAGGTATCCGGACCCGGGGTCGGGGGGCGGCGTGGGGCCTGCAGGGTGGGTGAGGCAGGGGGAGAGGGAGGAACCTGCAGAAGGGGCGCTGCCAGAACAGGTGGGGCCTGTGGAGGAGGCGTGGCTAAAGGAGACTTTGGGGGTGAGGCAGAGGGTGAGAAAGGGGCCTCCTCAGGGAGTGAGGCAGGCGGAGAGGGAGGGGCCTGCAGAGGAGGTGTGGCCAGAGCAGGCGGGGCCTGTGGAGGGGGCTTGGCCAAAGGAGACATTGGGGGTGAGGCAGGGGGAGAGGGCAGGACCTGCAGAGGAGGAGCGGCCAGAGGGGGTGGGGCCTGTGGAGGGGGCGTGGCCGAAGAAGACATTGGGGGAGAGGCAGGGGGAGAGGGTGGGACCGGCAGAGGAGGCGCGGATAGCGGGGGTGGGGCCTGTGGAGGGGGCGAGGCTGAAGGAGACATTGGGGGAGAGGCAGGGGGAGAGGGTGGGACCTGCAGAGGAGGCGCGGCTAGAGAGGGTGGGGCCTGTGGAGTGGGCGTGGCCGAAGAAGACACTGTGCGTGAGGCAGGGGGAGAGAAAGGGGCCTGCCCTGGGGGTGAGGGAGGGGGAGAGGAAGGGGCCTGCAGAAGGTACACTGCCATAGCAGTTCGGGCCTGTGGAGAGGATGTGGCCAAGGGAGACAGAGGGGGTGAGGCAGGTGGAGAGGGAGGGGCCTGCAGTGGAGGCAAGGCCAGGGCAGGTGGGGCCTGTGGAGGGGGCGTGGCCAAAGGAGACAGAGGGGGAGAGGGCAGGCCCTGCAAAGGGGGTGAGGCCAGAGCAGGTAGGGCCTGTGGAGGAGGCGTGGCTATGGAAGAGGGGGTCTCCGGAAGGGGCGCGATCAATGGCGAAGGTGGTGCTTGCAGAGGGCGTGGGTCTGGACAAGGTGGAGTCTCCAGATGGGATGTGGTCAGGGAACCAGAAGCTGTCTGCAGAGGGGGTGGGGCTAGAGAAGGTGGGCTCTCCAGAGGGAGTGTGGTCAGGGAAGCCGGAGGTGTCTGCAGAGAGGGCGGGACTAGAGAAGACTGGGTCTCCAGAGCGGGCATGGTCAGGGAAGAGGGAGGTGCCTGAGGAGAGTAGGAGGCCAGAGAAGATGGAGCCTGCAGAGGGGATGTGATCAGGGGTGAGTTTAGGGGTGAGACAGCAGGAGAGAGAGAAGTCTGCAGAGGGGGTGAGACAGGAAGGGAAACAGGGGCCTGCAGAGGGGGTGAATCAGGGGGAGTAGAGGAAGGCTGAGAAGGCGAGGTCAAAGAAGGTTGGGTTTGCCTAGGGGACACTGTCAGAAAAGAATGTGTGGCCTGCAGAGGGGGTGAGCCCAAAGAAGTTGTGGCCTGCAGAGAGGACGAAGCCAGAGGAGAGGGAGGTGCCTGCGGAGACGGTGAGGTCAGAGAATGTGGGACCTGTATTGGGGGAATGGTCTGGAGAGAGGGCGGGGCCTGCACAGGGGGCGTAGTCATAGAAGGTGGGGCCTGTGAGTGGGGCGGGGCCATGGGTGGGGGCGGGGCCTGCAGAGGCGAGGCCAAAAGAGAGGGAGAAACTAGAGGACGATCCTGCAGAGAGACTGTGGTCAAAGGAGAGGGAGAGGCCTGCAGAGGCAATGTGGCCAGAAGAGGAGGGTCCTGTGGAGGAAGAGTGGCCAGAGTGTGGGGCGTGGCCTGGGGGGACGGGGAAGGACTGGCCTGCGGAGGGGGCGTGGTCAGAGCAGAAAGGCCTGGCTGAAGGAGTGTGTCGAGGGGAGAAGCCGGATTCCCGGGAGATGTTGCCGGAGAAACAGGGCCTTGTAGAGGAGACATGGCTGACAGAGGAGGTGTGGCCAAGGGAGAGAGGAGAGTCGGAAGAGAGGGCAACGCTGGATTAGCTTGGGTGGGGGGCATACTCTGCAGAGGGGATGAAACTGATGGAGAGACTGAAGCCACAAAAGCGGCTATGGCTAGGGAAGAGGCGCCTGCTTCTGGAAAGGATGTAATCACCTGTGTGGGTGGAATTTGCGAGGGGGGTGTGGCTGGTGGAGAGGGGAGGGTCTGCAGAGAGGGAGAAGCGGAGGGAGAAGGAGGGGCTAGAGGAAGGGGCGTGGCCAACTGACAGGTAAGGCTCGGCGAGTGGGGCGTGGCCGGCAGGGTGGGCGGGGCCTGACTTTGGAGCACGGCTGGAAGAGGGGGCGTGACCGGTGGAGAAGGAGGGAGCGTGGCTGGCAGGGGAGTGGCTGCGTTGTAGGGAGGCGGTACGGGTCTTGCCTTGGTACCCGGTGGAGAGGGTGTGGCCACAGGAGAAGAAGAAAGCGGGACTAGTGCTGGGGCTGCGTCCTTCCTTAGGGGTGTGACCTGCGGGGGGCGCAGAGCCTGCAGCCCTTTCGGTTTGGGCTGCGAGGGATGCGCAGGAGCCCTGGGTGTTCCGCGGGCTGAGGGCCCAGAACGGGCTGGGGAGGAGAGAGGGGTGGCGCTGGAGCTCAGGGGGCGCGAGGCCGGCCTCTGGAGACCCCCACCGGCGCTGGGCCGCCTCCTGGCAGCCGGGCTTGGCTCGGTGGTACTGTGCTCCGAGGCGCTGCTCACTGATTTCCGGGGGCCCTCTGTCGCGGGCCGTGGCCGGGCACTCGGAGCTGGCCGGGGGAGCCCCACCTCGGTGCCCGCAGCCCGGGACCGACGGGCCATGGCCGGGGAGGGGGTTCCTGGGGTAGGCCCGGAAGTGTCTGGAGAAAAAGTAGAAGGCCAAGGGTCACCGATACCTCTGAGGCGGCCCCCCTCACTGCCCAGGAACCCCACTCTTCTCCAGGTCACATACCTCTCCGTGCCCCGGCGCCGAGGGCACTCCTTTTGGGAGCCTCTGTAGCTTTTCCTCTGGCTACAGTTTCCTCCGCTGGGATCCGGAGTCCCTTTTGGCCAAGAGGGCCTGGCCTGGAGACAGAGGGGGCCACACTCAGGCCTAGGTCCTTGTTTGGCTTCCCAAGCCTCTATTTTCCCATCTGTGAAATGGGCATGCGCCCTCTTTGAGGACCAATAATGGCTTTCACCCAATTTGTGTCCAGTGACCTGCAAGTGCTGCCGCGCCCCAACTCGTGTAAAATAAAAGGTTCCAGACTCTGTGACGCCAACCCTGGCTGAGGGGACTGGGGGAGAGGGAGCAGGTTACCTAGTGGTCCCGCTGGCACGCCCTGGGCTAGAAACAGGGCCTGGGCTGGTGTTCTTGGCAGGAGGAGCTCTCTCCCCTCTCCCGGAGGCTGGGGCCCTGGAAGCTGCGGGGAGAAGGCCGAGTCACAGGTGCCCCGGAGAGGTGGTGGTGGAGGGGAGACGGGGCAGGTATGGGAAGTGGGAGGGAAGATCGGGTCCAAGCTGAGGAAGGAGGCTGGGGTACCTGGGTTTCGGGAACTTGTCCCAGCATTCCGCGTTGGTCCCGCTCGGGGCGCAGACTCGGAAAGAGTGGCCCCGCCGATGCCCCCGGCTCGCTCTGCCAGAGGTTTTCGCCCCACAGCTCCCGCAGCTCCCAGAACTCGGAGGGCTGCGGGAGTTACTGGGGGAGGGGGTCGAGGAGAGCCTGGGGGCCTGGGGGTCAGAAGTCCAGGAGGGCGAGCAGCCGGCGTCCGCGCAGTGGCCCCTGCCTTGGCCTTGTCTCTCTTGTCCATCTTGCACCTGAAGAGACAAACTGGTCCGCATCCCAGGTTCTGGACACCTACGTCGCCTCCAGAGACCTGGACCCGGGTACCTCACTGCCCTTTCGCAGCATCGCCACCCATGTACACTCAAACCTCGGCCTCGGCTTCCATCCGCTCAGCTCCCACGCACCTACACCCACTCGCCAGCCCCACTGCTTCTTGCTGTCCCCATGTCCCACCCCCCACCGCTTTTCCCCAAAGCGAAGAGGCCCTGCCTGCCCCAGCCCGCCGCCTCCCCCGCCTCAGCTCCAATTCAGGACCGATCTCCACGCCCCTACCCCTCGCCCCCTCAGGGACTCAGACCGCCAGCCTCGAGAGCAGGGAGCTGCCACGGGCTCCGGATGTGGGGGACCGGAGCGCACGCCCGGGTCTCCCCGCCAGCCCCCAGCGGCCTCCCCCAGCCTCCTCCAGGGATGCCTGCACCTGCTGGGAGGCAGA